CAGAGGGTACTATAGTGATATCTCAATACAAAATGTTGCCTTTGATAAAGAGTGCGGTAGTAACTTGCTTAGTGCATATTATCTTGCCACACAAGGGTATCACCACATTCAGTCAAAAGGTGGGCAGTATTTGTACTTCCTTGATAGTAAAAACCGATTCATATTTGCTGCAGTTGCAATAGATGAGGTATACTATTTACCGAGTAGGAGACTGGATAATAATTCAAGAGTACTATCCGTCGATAGTACTTCTCAATCGAAGATACAAAAGACGTTGAAGGAGTGGCACCTGAGGCTAGGTCATGTCGGTAAAGGCAGACTGATGAACATTCTGGCTGGCAGAGTAATCAGAGATGCACCCCAGTTATCTAGAAAGAAAATGGAACTGGTATCATTTTTCTGTCGTACATGTGTGCTGGCAAAATCACGGCGAATGTCTTATAGGAATAAGGTGACAGATAAGGTATCTGAGCCTTTGCACACACTGCATATGGACTCATTGGGAAAAATAAGACCACAGGGCCTCTATAATACTACCGGGCACAAGTATGCTCTAGCAATAGTAGATGATGCCACTGCTTATAAATGGTATTTCGTTCTGAAGTCTCTGAAAGAGGTTGGGGTTATTGTTAAAACCCTTATTAAGCAGCTGGAGAAACAATTCCCATACAAGGTAAAACGGATAAGGACCGACGGGGGTACAGAATTTGTCAACGAATTCTTAAAAGGGTACTGCGATAGAAGTGGGATCGTGTTCCAAAAGTCAAATGTAGAGTCTCAAGAGGAAAATGGGTCTGCTGAGCGAGCTCACCAGACAATAATGGGTAAAGTTAGATGCGCGTTAATAGGATCGGGTATGGCTGCTAAATGGTGGCCAGAGGCATTAAAATATATGACAGCAATAACTAATAGGATACCAACAGCCCGGCTTAAGGGTAAGAGTCCATACGAAGCACTGTTTGGCACCAAACCAACAGGAATTGAGCTTCACATATGGGGCAGTACGTGCTACGCCCATGTACCAAAATCTAAACGACCCAATCCGAAGCTTAGTGAGCGGGCGCTAGAGTGCAAACTTCTCGGGCTTTCTGAAGATTACAAAGGGTATCGTCTACTCGATATTAAAGGAAATAGGTACATTAACGCTCGAGATGTAAAATTTGGGCCAACATTTACTGAGGGACTGATTTACGATCGTTCCCGTCCGGGAAAATTGAGGAGAATGAGGAAATAATCCTAGAAGTTGGGGAAAAGGGGAAAAGAAAACGAGAAACGGGGCTGGATGTGTCTAACAAGCGACCAAAATCAAATTCTGAGCTGGAAGAGTGTGCACCGGATACTGAAACAGTGGGAGTAAAGAAACAGCGAGTTTCTGTGCCACCTATACCTCGCAGTCGTAGGAAAAGGACACCAAATTCTCGTTTAAAGGACTATTTAGTATCAATCAATGCTGTCACAATTAGCACAAAGGTGATACCGATTCCACGATCAATAAAAGAAGCGAGACGGGGACCACACGCTCAGCAGTGGGAGACTGCGCTGCAAGCTGAATTTCAGGCACTGGTTGCAAATAGTACTTGGGAAATAGTACCATTGCCAAAAGGAAGGAAAATACTAGGTTGTCACTGGGTATTTGACGTGAAGTATAACCCAGATGGAACAGTTGATAGATTTAAGGCAAGATTGGTTGTTAGGGGAAACACACAAACCCACGGTGTTGATTATAATGAGATATTCTCACCGGTGGCGCGGTATGAGTCGTTGAGATTACTACTGGCAATAGCAACGATAAAGGACCTTCATGTCCATCAAATGGATGTGTCAACGGCCTTCCTAAACGGATCGCTGCTTGAGGATATTTACATGCAACAACCTCATGGGTTTAGGCATGGGGATGCGTCCAGTGTGTGCAAACTGAAGAAAAGCCTATATGGACTCAAACAAGCACCTCGCATCTGGTATGCACTCCTCAATAAGTTCCTGGTAAGCCTAGGGTTTTGTCGGTGCAAAAAGGAGTACTGTTTGTACCGTCAAAAGTGAGAGGTAAAAGGAGTAACGCATATAGTACTTGTCTGCGTCTACGTGGATGATATTACTATAGCATCTAGTAGTATGACATTGATGCAAAAGGTGAAGAGCCAACTGGCTTCTAGATTTACTATGAAGGACCTAGGTGATATCCATTATCTACTGAAGATGGAGATTAAAAGGGATAGGGCAAATATGATTTTGAGTATGTCCCAACACAAGTATATAATGGACTTACTACAAAAGTTCGATATGACTGACTGTAACTCAGAACCAACACCACAGGCAAAGAGTATAGTACTTGAGAAAGAGGAAAAATTAAGTCCAGATGAAATCTCAGCACAACCATTCGAATACAGAGGTTTAGTGGG